GGAAAACCTCCGCAGGAAAGTCAAACTAAATATGACAACAAGAGAACAAGCCGATGAAGATCTGCCTACTTTTTCTTTGGGAATGGATTTTTTAACTCCCGAGAAAGAACCCAGAGAAAGGGAAAACAGAAACCAATCAACGCCGGTTCCATCTCGTTCCGCAACTCTAAGTTCATTTACACTGGTGAATTCACTGTCAGGTTTTGACCAATCTGAGACGAGATAATTGAAGCATAGCAAAATACTTTCCGAAACAAAATAAACAACGAATTGAAGGGTAGGAGAAGAAATTTCTGCCCTTTATATTTAAACTCACTCTGTGATAGTCGCTCACCATAAAGAACATTTCCATCTTTGCCATGTATGAACTCAATTTACAACAACTAACTTGTCTTATTCCTTAAACTGCCATTAATGTCTTGACAGGTTGAAGATCTCTTTAAAGCTGATATTAACTACTATGCAACCAAAGTGATACCATTCAAGTAGGTGGCTTTGATTAGCGTTTACTTTATAATTAATTAAGAAGGAAATACGAGTGAATTAGAATCACCTACGTTAATTGTGACGCCTCAAGTAACTTGACAGTCAACCGAACCAGTCAACCAGTGCAGTAAATGGACAAGCAGACAAGATAGTTTTGTTTCGTTCATTCATTTGCTTTCAGTTGAAAGGGTTTGACGGAGGGCTAACCCCGTAACGACAGCTTTAGAAACTCTTTACGATTGTCGAATTGCATTTCAATATCAAGTTAATTGATACATTCAAATTAAGAACATGTCTCTGGAAGAATTAAACACCTTAGGAAATGAACATTTTCAACCCCCCTTCAAATTTTGCATGCAGTTAGGCACTCAGGGGGGAGGCAAAAAATGCCCTTTTTAAAGGTTGCAGCACTCTTGTTCCAATGGTAACGACTGCTTGTTCAAGGCCTGGGTCCTCCTTTTCATACAAAAACATGGCGAAAAAGTGTAAAATGTTTATTTCTCTATCTCAAGCTAAATACAACATTACAGATTGGTACTTCTAGCATACATAGTGACATCACTCGTCTTTAATTTGATGTATTCAATTTCCCCTGAGAGGGAATGTGAACACACCAATAGATTAGTTATCTTGGTACTGTTTCGGTCATTTTTGCTGTTGGATAAAACAGGGGAAACGTCGGTCTAAATTTCTCAAAAAGTACACCGATTCTGGAACTGAAAGTACGCACTTAGTTGGTTATAATATTCTAGTTTTTAAATATGTAAAAATCTCTGCGGGTGGCCTCTACTTTTCATAGAGGAAGTTCGCGAACGAAGCTCAAAAATCAGATATTGCATATATTGGCAGTGTCTACATCTAACGTTCTAAAAAAACATACGTTTCAGACAAATGAAAAGTGAAAGAATTTGAAAGAGTGTTATCTTCTGAGCAATATTCCGAAGAGAAATCTCGCCTCTAGCTTTATTATTTTTAAAAAAAATTGATCATCCTTCAAGGAGGACTTCCTGATATAACTACAAACATGCCTGAATTCGTGTGCTGCTATCATCCAGATTCCGAGTGCTGTACCTTCTTTCATGAGAATTTGAGCAATCCAAAATCCTCTGAGGATACATCATTATACTTTTCGGTCATTTGAAACCTGTGACACTCGTCCTCATTGGGAAGAACTGATGGCGGTCGAACGTGTTTCGTTGGGCTCTGCTCATTTTGCTCCTTTTAAGGATCTGGATCCTTTAACATGGTTTTTTTGTAGTTACCTTGTTGAATCAAGTTATCCTAAAGAATGTCTCTGATGTTCTCGGTGCCTTTCGCTTCCACACACATCTTTTTTCTGATGTCTCTGTCCATCCAGATAGTTTTAATTCAGATCATTTTCCTGTATCTTTTGCTATTAGTGGAAATTTCCAACGTCAAAAGAATGTCAATAGGGAAATCTATTGTTGCAAGAAAGCTGACTTTGATGGTCTCAAAAGTATACTGAAATAACTCCTCTGGGACTCTGTGATTTTACCCAGTGATTTAAATGACAGTGTGACTAAATTTCAGGACCTGCTATTATGTGCTATAGACAGGCATGTTCCTCGAATAACACTTAGAGGTCGTTCAAGGCCACCTTGGATGACTGCTGAAGTTATGAAGTTGATGAGCAAAATAAACGCTGTGGAACAGAATGAAGTCTACTCCTTCTACAGATCTTTTCATGCGCTTTAAGCAACTGAGGAAACAAACCAAGAAATGTATTGCCACAAGTTATCATCAGTATCTCCAATCGTTATCAGAGAATTTGAAAGTAGATCCTAAGAAGTTTTGGTCCTTGCATGCCATTAAATAAAAAACAAATAGGTTGCCTGTAGTTGTCACCTATAAAGATAGATCCGCAACAGCCGGAATCTGTCGAGAAGGCTGCGCTGTTCAATGAATTTTGTAGTACAGATAGCGTAAACTGTGAAGATCTCCAAGTAGATGTTTTGCACCCAGATTTTCTTTCTGACATTTCCACCACTCAGAGTGAGGATGAGGACATTTTAGTTAATCTGGACGCTAACAAGGCACCTGGTGTCGATGAAATCCTTGCAAGAATTTTGAAATCATGTGCCCGGGACTGAGTTATCAATGCCCCAGACCAATTTGTTTAACCTGTCATTTAGTTTGGGTGTAGTCCCCATGACTTGGAAAAGAGCCAATGTTACACCAGTTTTTAAAGACAATGCCAAGGAGAATGTTGAGAACTATAGATCCATCTCCTTACTATCGATCTTAGGAAAATGTCAGGGTATAATTGTCCATCGTGCCATCTACTCTCATGTCTCACCTTTTCTTACTGACTAGCAGCATGGCTTTGTGAAAGGGCGTTCCTATTTAACCCAGCTGGTCCTCACTAACCATATGTGGAGTAAAGGGCTGGATGATGGTCTCCAGGTTGATGCTGTGTTTTTGGACCTCGCTAAGGCGTTCGATCGCGTCAGTGAACCATAAGATTCTACTGCATAAACATTGTAACTTTGGAATAGTAGGGTCACTGCTGGCCTGGTGTGGTGATTATTTATTGTGTCGTAAGCAGAGAGTTGTGGTGGATGGCAAAAGTTCTAGCTGGCTGAATATCACATCCGGCGTGCCGCAGGGGTCCATTTTGGGCCCCTTGTTTTTTGTTATTGTCATCAGCGATTTGCCTGAGGTAGTCCAACAAAGCTCTGTGGCACTTTATGCAGATGACTGCAAGGCGTGTAGGGTGGTAAACTGTGCAAATGACCTAATGATGTTTCAAGACGATCTGGATAGTCTGTGCGCTTGTAGTCAACGGAACAGGATGATCTTCAATGTTAAGAAATGCAAGATGATGCGCATTACCAGGAAGAAACAACCATTCAGATCAAGCTTCACCCTCAACGGATCGGACATAGAGGAAGTTTATGAGTTTCGCGACCTAGGTTTGCTTATGAACCATCATCTTTCCTGGAACTCTCATGTTGATGCAATTACAAATAAAGCTAATAGAATATTGGGCCTGCTAGGAAGAACCTGTAGAGACTTGAAGGACACCGAAACTCTGAAGATGCTGTACTGCACGTTGGTTAGATCGCAAGGGGAATATGGAACAATTATGTGGTCGCCACATACCAAAAGGAACATTGAAAAGCTTAAGCGCATACTGCAGCGGGGAACAAAATTCATTCTCGGAAAAAGGAATTTTATTTATGACGAGCGCCTGAAATGTCTCAATTTGCTTTCACTTAAAAAAAAAAAACGTTATCTTTTTGATGTTACATTTTTGTACCAGGCTTTAAAGGGATACTTAAATGTGGATGTTTTTCCGTTTTTGAATTTTTATTTTCGGGACAATCCATACAGATTTAGACATGTTGATGACTATTCCTTGAAGATGAATTTTACGAGACCGACTAATTTGAAATCCACCTATTTTCATACAATTTCTGAAATGTGGAATTCGATACCCTTAGATATTAGATTATATCGTAGTCTTGCAGTTTTTAAGTCTAGAGTGAGGAAGTTTTTAAGTAAGGAACTTTGACGCTTCTAATTTTGATCTAAATTTTTCTGTCTGTCATTATATTTGACTTATTTAGATTAGCTACACGGTGATCTGTCTTGCATGGAGTGTTCCACTCTTTCATTGATTATCCTTATGGCTTTGTTTGTTTGTACATTTAGATTTATATATTTGTCATCATTGCCATTAAATTGTAATAACTAAAAAACATGAACGTTATCATGATGGCGTGACGCTGGACTTCTCCATGAGGTTTCCATCAGGTCGCTCCAAAGAAGGCGAGAAATGGACATTTTTCGATATTTCAGCAGATTTCCGCGCATTCTGAAGTAAATACAACCAAAAAAAGAGAGGAAACCCTTAAATGAACGTTCGTGAACACTGAGAGTGAGAGTATACATGTAAATTGCAACTTGTCAGTGGTAGTACTACATGTAAAACCCAGTTGCCACAATAGCAATTTGTACGACATACTGCGTCTTCTTGCAAAGAGCGGGTTCGGGCAGTTGTCATTTCCGGGTAAAAGAAACTGAGATATTTCGAATCATCTGAAAACTGTTACAAAACTGTCAGAGAATTTGCATAAGATATAGTAACAACAGACTTATCACCGCCGCCGTGCAATCGAGACCGTCAATGTTTCCTTCCATGTCTTGATGAAGAAAGAATAAAAAAAGAGTTCGAAATAAAAGATTCAACGAAATCATAATGTCACAATTCCACCTTTCAAATTACTCCTTATCCACACGAAAGTGCAACTTGTAACTGGAATGAAACTCCCCAAAGAATTGCTTCAGGTTCTACGGGAAAAAGAACAGCGATTTCATCACGATTATTTTCCACATTTTTTTCCTGGATATCTTTATAAGCTTAAAGAAAGATAAATATAGCCCAATCTTCTGTAATACATTACCTACTTAGGGTTCGTAAAGGTCTTGAAAGTCCATGAAGATGCTTGAATTTAAAATAAAAAATTCAATGCCTTAACAGTACTTGAAGTTGAAGACTAGGGGTTGATTTCTGCAATGCCTTTTCTTTAAGCGATTTTTAAGTTGAAAATTACAGTACTTACATGGAAAAGCTAATAATATTAAATAATTCTAAAATTGCTTATGCAAAGCTTTCCAAAAGTGGTCCTTCAATTTTTTTAACACTTGGCCTACAAAGGACTACAAAGTCACTGAAAGGTCTTACAGATGCTAAAGGTTGAAATTCAAAGAACCTACTCCTATATGGTAATATTATTTTGATTGTTGTCGAGTACCATAACAACATTCATTACACTCCAGTAGACAAAAAAAACACATGTAGACTTATTCGTGACTAGTAATGACGAAATTGCGAAACGACAGTAACAATGGCAATAGGGCAGTCCCCTAAACTTAACTTCAGATGTGCCATATTGAAAGCCTGAGTTCCCGCAGCTATGGGTCTAGTTTTATTTTTCTTTAACCATGCTGTTTTTTCTTTTAACTGTACATATTTTTTCTTTTAACGGTACATATCCTATTGTAATCATATGCTGTAGCTAGGTCATTAGTAGGCGAAGAGCCACCTTATGGAAGTACTGCTAATAAAGTCGTTATTATTATCATCATTATTATTATTATTATTATTACATGTTTTTACTTACATCGTATAGTCCTTCATGAAAGTTGATTTATTTGTTCAAAATATTAAAGCTAGAAGCGAGATTTCTCTTCGGGATATTAATCAGAAGATAACATTTTTTTAAAGTCTTGCACTTTTCATTTGGCTGAAACGTTTGTTGTTGAGAACATCAGATGTAAACATTGCCAATTTATGCAACATCTGATTTTTGAGCTTCGTTTGCGAATTGCCATTATGAAAATGAGAGGCCGGCGCGCAGAGATTTTTACATAGTTAAAAACTGCAATATTATAATCAACTAAGTGCGTAGTTTCAGTTCCAGAATCGGTGTACTTTTGGAGATATTTAATCAAACGTTTTCCCTGTTTTACCCTACAGCAAAAATGACCGAAATTGTACCAAGATAAATAATCTATTGGTGTGTTCACATTCACTCCCAGGAAGAATTGAAAACATCAAAAGGTTCTCTTTGACGAAGACGAATGATGTCACTATGTATGCTAGAAGTACCAATCTGTAATGTTGTATTTAGCTTGAAATAGAGAAATAAACATTTTACACTGTTTTTGCGATGTTTTTATATGAAAATGAGGCCCCAGGCCCCGAATAAGCAACCGTTGTTACCATGGCAGCAAGGGTGCTGCAACCTTTAAAAAGAGCATTTTTTGCTTTCCCCTGAGTGCCTAACTGCCTGCAAAATTTGAAGGGGGTTGAAGGTTGTCATTTCCCAAGATGTTTTATTCTTACGGAGACTCGTTCTTAATTATATATCTTGTTTTATTAAAAACTGGATCATGGGATAATGCAATTGAAGACTTTTTATTGGCTTAGCTATTATGGTATATGAGCCAATATACCATAATCTAATATCTGTACATTGTAACATCCGGTTTCTTCTTACAAAATAAAGTCGAGAAGATTTGTCTAATACCTTGAGGTGTTTTTTTTTAATAAAACAATTATTCCTCTTGCGCTTGTTGGATATGAGATAATTATAGCCAACGAGGCGCGTAGCGCCTCGTTGGCTATCAATCATCTCATATCCAACAAGCGCAAGTGGAATAATTGTTATATACCCTCACCGACGCAGGACTAGAGATTCTTTTGAAACTGAACCCCCATAGACAGGCAGGCAGACAGACAGTCAAATAGATGAATGTTGAGTAGTAGAGTAAAATGTAACTCAGTAAAAAGATGTTTTGAAAGGATGTCATTAAAGGAAACATTAATTCATGTTTTGTGTTCATTTCGGTAGAAGTGGCTGCGTGAATGTGTATTTCAAGTTGGAATTTAAGAGAATAGTTCGAGCTAGCATCATAATTTCCACCCTAAAATATGCTGCGATGGATGGGAAGTTTGGGAGTTTTGTTGTCGATCCGTCATCAATCACAGTACTGCAAGACGAGACGCCTGCATCAAGTTCGAAGAAAAGTACAGGAGAGAAAGGTGTGTTCACTCACTTTATCTGACCCGTGAATCGTAAATTCACCCGTAAAATTACATGGCAACCGGGTGCAAATGAATCAAAAGTAATATATATATATATATTTATGTATAACAAGTTAAAAGGCCTCCAGCCAACAGTGACGCCGTGCCAGAAGGATCCAAAGGGATTCACAGTCCAAACCTCGATAAATAGTAGGAAAAATATTGTAGTACACGAGGACGGACAACTTCGAGCTTCTTAGCTCGAAGTTGTCTGTCCTCGAGTACTACAATATTTTTCCTATAT